ACAGCAGATGTCGCGCAGGTGCGATAGGTCACGCAGGTACGATAGGTCATGCAGGTGGGATAGGTCACGCAGGTGCGATAGGTCACGCAGGTACGATAGGTCACGCAGGTGCGATAGGTCACGCAGGTGCGATAGGTCACGCAGGTGCGATAGGTCACGCAGGTGCGATAGGTCACGCAGGTGCGATAGGTCACGCAGGTACGATAGGTCACGCAGGTCACGCAGGTGCGATATGTCATGCAGGTACGATAGATCACGCAGGTGCGATAGGTCACGCAGGTGCGATAGGTCACGCAGGTGCGATAGGTCACGCAGGTCATGCAGGTGCGATAGATCACGCAGGTCATGCAGGTGCGATAGATCACGCAGGTGCGATAATAGATCACGCAGGTGCGTCACCAGCTGCGCCGGCGCCACGTCGGACGCACGGCGGGGCGAAAGGCACAGGCGCTGTCTACTGTGTTGGTCGGTAGATGGGCAGACCTAGTCTACTGTGTTCATCACTAAATTTGTAGAAACGCACAGACGCTGTCTACTGTGTTAGACGGTAGATAGCCGAAAATGGGCAGACCTGGTGTACTGTGTTCGGCAGTAGATAGCTGGAAATGGGCCGACCTGGTGTACTGTGTTCGTCAGTAGATAGCTGGAAATGGGCCGACCTACTCTACTGTGCACAGACGCTGTCTACTGTGTTATATTCATATATTATGTTTTATATATTATGTGCATATTTAACCTATATTTTCCCTTTAAAATGATACTAAAATAAGCTGAAATAAAACATGTAAGCGCAAATTCCAGCACAGGGCGATAGATCCATTGTTAACGAGGCAGCGTTGAACCTGTTAATTGCTACTCGGCTAATTAGCATGGCTTCGGGCTTCGCTCACTCTGCTGCTTGCAGGATCTACAGCGGCGTCAGCAGCTGCAGGAGAAACGCGCCGAGCTACAGAGCGCTACCGAGCGGCTGAAGCACGACGTCGATGAAGCCCGCCGCCAGGTGGCTCCACTAGAGGTGAGCGGAGTCGCGAGATATTTTTGCGATCGTCGTAATCGAGTTGGGCGCTTTCGGCGGTCAGTTTGTAACGAGAAAATCTGTCAAGCCTATCCAGGTGTGATGTGTTATCGGTGTTTGTCCAGCGAGGGATGGTGAGAGATGCATTCCAGCCTAGTATAGTATAGTGTAGTGTAGTGTAGTGTAGTATAGTATAGTATAGTAATATAGTATAGT